TTTTTTTTTAACTAAAAAAAGCAAGACGAAGACGGTATGTTATTGTCGGTGAAAAACTGTAGGTCGTATTTTCTGAATCTCTAAGCTGAGAAAACTTCCAAATCCTTTCAGGGATGTGTAGAACAGTAGCTCTACAAATCAGTCTGATTCTGGTACTTCGTCGTTGAAAAACTGCAGGTTGTATTTTCTGCATCTCTGAGCTTGGAAAACTTTCAAATCTTTTCAGGGATGTGTAGAACAGTAGCTCTACAAATCAGTCTGATTCTGGTACTCTCGGCATCTCTCCGATCCGCAACTGCTTCACCGGACGATCACCGGTACAATGTCGGAGATCATGTTCCTTTGTTCGTCAACAGAGTCGGACCCCTAAACAACCCCAGGTACCCTCTCACACATCTTAATTAAGCTCGGTCTTTCTTACCTTTCTATGGGACACCATTTTTCTGCAAATTTACCTTAGGTTTATGAAATTGGGAATTTTTGATAAATTTGAATGTCTAAAGGTCAATTTTTCTTTTTCCTTGAAGTAGTTTGGAATTGTGTTTTCCTTATTGTATTTATTTCTTTTTTTCCTTATTGTTATTCTGTTTCAGTGAGACCTACCAATACTATGAGTTACCATTCTGCCGCCCAGGTTAGCTTTTTCTACTTGAGTAGTTCCATTAACTGAAAAATGGGTATTGAGTTTTCATCTCTTGCAATATTCAGGTAAATTAAAGTTTGGACTTTGGAGTTAGTTTAGTTAACAGTTTGTGGCTTGCAGATCCTGTGAAGTTCAAGAAGGAATCCCTTGGGGAAATTCTGAATGGGGACCGTTTGGCTAGTGCTTTATTTGAATTGAAATTCAGGGAGCACAAAACTGAGGAGATCTGGTGTGAGAAGAAGCTTAAACGAGATGAAGTTGAAAACTTCAGACGTGCTGTTGCAAATGATTATTACTTTCAGATGTACTATGATGATCTGCCATTTTGGGGTTTTATTGGGAAAATTGAGGAAAGCTGGAGGCTTGACAATGCAATCCTCCGATATTATCTATTTAAACATGTGCAGTTTGATGTGCTTTATAATGGTGACAGAGTTGTAGAAATACATGCATTTGCCGACCCAAATCATGTTGTTGATATAACAGAGGATATTGATGTTGATGTTAAGTTCACATATTCTGTCTTATGGAACACAACCTCAGCTCCTTTTGAGACTAGAATGGGCAGATATTCAATGGAATCGTCACTCCCAATCCACCAGAAGATTCATTGGTTCTCACTCGTCAATTCAGTTGTCATCATTGTGCTCTTGATGGGATTGCTCGTGTTGCTTTTTATGCGGCGTCTAAAGAATGATATGAGGAAGTAATACTCTTTTGTTTTAGATTGTTGACAGTATCAGATTATTTTATGTCTATGCTATTTTTTTCTCAAATTCATTGCATATATACAGGTGTTCCATTGGAGATGGAGAAGAAGACAAAGAGGTTGGTTGGAAATATCTCCATGGAGACGTTTTTCGACATCCTCAGAACTTGTCATTGTTTTCTGCTGTTGTTGGAACGGGCACTCAACTGCTAGCCTCGTAAGCTACTTGAAACCTTTATTCTTCATTCTCCAATATACTTGGTAGCTGCCAGCTGGTTCATACAGAAAAAATTAATGACTCTTCTATTGGTACAAATTTATTCTTTTGTTCCCCACTCATCCTCCATTCAGTTTCATTGACATTTTTATTTTTCTTTAATCAGTTGGATTTTATTATTTTGAGATGCAACGTTCTTGCCCTTTTTCTTCAACTATTGCTGTGTGGTTACGGTCCTTTTTAGAGAGTTGATGTTACATAATGTTAATATCTGGTAAGGTGAGACGTGCAAGTTAAATGGGGAGTCCAAAAGGTTATATATGTAGAATTGATGTGAAGCATGCCATTCTAGAAGCTATTTACAAATTTATTAAGCATGAAGATGCAAGATTCTTTTCCCCTAATGATTGTACTTTTCCTTCAGATTTTGCTGCCTATTTGTGCTAGTTTCTGTTGGTGTCCTCTATCCCTACAATCGTGGAGCACTATGCTCATCACTTGTCTTTACCTATACTCTGACATCAATTGTTGCTGGGTACTTTGCTGCTTCTTTCCACTGTCAGTTTGTTGAAACTGGATGGGTAATCTTTTTGTTGTATTTCATGTCATTTTTTGTATTATTGAACTTTTACTTTTGTTAATAAAATTTGTCAATTTTCAGGAAAGGAGCGTTCTTCTTGCTGGTATACTCTATGTTGGCCCTTTGTTTGTGACAGTGTCCATTCTCAATACCATTGCTGTATCATATGGTGCCATGGCTGCACTTCCTGTCAGCACTATTTTTGTAATTATTCTCATATATACATTTGTCACAACCCCATTGCTTGCCTTAGGAGGGGTGATTGGACACAGGTTTAGGTCTGACTTTCAAGCGCCTTGTGCTACTAAAAGATTCCCAAGGGAGATTCCACCATTAGCTTGGTACAGAAAAACACCTTGTCAAATGTTTCTTGCAGGTTTCTTCTCATTTAGTGCGATTGTCCTTGAGTTATTCTACATTTATGCGAGCTTGTGGGGTTATAAAATATTCATTCTTCCCAGTATTTTGTTTGTCATTTTTGTCATCCTTGTCATGCTTACTGCAATCTTGAGTGTTGGTTTGACTTATGTTCAACTCTCTGTGGAAGACCATGAATGGTGGTGGAGGTATGTGTTACTAAGCATGAACACTCACAGAAACAACTAAATCTGTTAATTTATATCCTTACGATTTTTTGTTTGATGCAGGTCTATGTTGTGTGGAGGCTCAACTGCCTTTTTTATGTTTGCCTATTCCATCTATTTCTACGTCAGGTCAAATATGAGTGGCCTATTGCAGCTATCCTTCTTTGTTGGCTATAATGCTTGTCTTTGCTATGCACTCTTCTTAATGCTTGGCACAATCAGTTTCTACGCTTCCTTGACGTTTGTTCGCCACATTTACCATGCTGTGAAAAGTGAATGAGTGTGCCTCTACCTTTCAAGATGATGGTCTTTTGTCTTGGCTCATTTCCTCCCAAAATCCCACCACCCCAGGGTGAAGATATAAGAGAAGAGAGGGGATGGGAGATTTAAAAGGGAAGTGAAAAGAGTAGAAAACATTGGGAAGTCTAATTTGTAGAAAAGCTTCGCTGCAACGGATAGAAGTTAAACCTATATACAAATGCAAGAGAGAATTTGTACCCTTTTTGAAGTCGAGATAGATTTCAGATTATTTTCCTGTGACATTAGATGTATGTTCATTGAACATTTATGATGTGGTTTCTTACCGCTTAATCTTCGAATTGGGAGATAAATAATTCTATAGCTTCATGATTTTTGCCTTATTAATTATGCCGTTTCTACTGTGCTCAATGTTGCAGAAGAAGCTTAGGTGGTGCTTAAGCTCCAACTTGGCCGCAGCTAAGCACTCTAGGTGTTTTTATTTTTCTGCAATGGTAAATCAAAATAGAGTGAAAAATTTTTTAAATAAAAGAAATGCCTAACTCGATTGCTTGACTTAAATAAGGTTGTAAAGTATTGTCTAGCGCTTAAAAAAACACCTTGGCAGGGTTTTTGTGACACGGAATATGCTTGCCTTCTCTGAGATTGTTTGTGTTTGTGTTCCTCAGTTACCCAATGATTCACTGAATGTGCCTTTGGCAGTCTGACCCGGTTAATGTGAGTATCGTCAATTTATTGGGGTTTAATTAACAAAAGCATATTAGTTCGAGGGCCTCAATTTTCTTTTCCCTTTTCATCTTTTTAACCATTTCCAGCTACTTTGGATAGGGCTGGGCATTTTTTAATCGAACCGATTGTTTATTCGAAAACCGAATTGAAAAAATGAATTTGGTTTGGTTTTAATGGTTTTTGGTTTTATTTTTTGGTTTTAATGTTAATCGAATATATTTTGGTTTGGTTTCGGTTGAGTCTCTCAAAAATCGAAAACCGAAAATAAACCAAAAATAAATCATTTAAAAACTAAAATTAAGATAAATATGATAACATATAATAAAATATGATAAAATATAATATATTATTAGCAAAATAATTGATTATTATTTATTATCAAAAACCGAAACCGAATTGATTTAAAACCGATTTATTGATAACCGAATCGATCGGTTTTTTTTTGTTTTGGTTTGGTTTTGGTTTTTCAAATTTGGGAAAAAAATTTCGGTTATTTCAAAATCGGTTTCGTTTTAACCGAAACCGGTTTTTGCCCACCCCTAACGCTGGAATACTATGCCATCAAAATTTCGGCGGAGTTGTTGAAATTTACAACCGCCAATCCTCCATTTAAAGTTGGCTGCGGATTCTCCAGATTTCTGAGTCCCCTGAAATTGAAATCTGTCATCCCAAAGAAAGGAAATAAACAAGGGAGCTCATTTGCAGGTTCTCAATATCGTACTCTCTGTCTTGCTTTTAGGAGCAGTAGTATGTAAGCTTTTGGACCCTAGTCTCAGTCAGTTGAATAAGGTGAGTCTCCAAAATGCTTGGAGTTATCAATGGGCTTGTTTCCTCGAATTCTTTTCCCAGTTCAGCTTCTTTTACTTTGATAGTTCATACCCAGATGATAATTTCTGTGTTATGTTCCTCTTTTTCCTTGTATTCTTTTCCCATTTCAGCATTTTTCCACTTTTATAGTTGATACCCAGTTGATAATTTCAGTGATACGTTCCTTTTTTATGCTCAAATCGGTAAAGTTCGGTTCTTTTTAAGGCGTTCCACCCAGTTCTGGACTACATTGCTCTTGGGTTTTTGCTCCAGGGGTTGTGCATTGTTGTTAGTTTTTCTTTGATTTCTTCTTCTCCTTGTTTCTTGAAGGATTCGTAAATTTCTCTTTGCTGTGTTGTTTTTCATCACCATCTTAGAAGATATGCAAAATACCTTATTCGCTACACCGTTCTGTGAACGTTTTAGTGCTAACTTTTTAATAGTTTGGTTTCTATTAACCCAGGTTAACGGTTTGTAGCAGAACTCTGGTGGCTGAGCACATCTCAATTTGTAGAAGTCTTCCACTTATTGGATGAACTGAAAGTTTCAAGAATGGGGTTTTGTGCTTCTAACTTTGGGGCTTGCTTGTCTCCCGGTTTTGTGCTGTCTGATGTTGGAGTACTAAGGTTTTCAGGGGGAAATGTTCTGAAGGGGACCTCAGTTGGTAGAGTTAGTTCCTCAAAGTTATTAGAGAAGAAGAACGGGTTTTTATGGTGTGCTTGTCAAAGAGATGTTCTTTGTTTTGCAAAGTCCAAATGTCCTGTTAACTCTCAAGATGTTAGCCCAAATCATATTGAAGAGGCGTTTCTGG